GGGGGAGGTAGCTACTCGCCGAGGCATTTACATTTGAAAAGTTGGGTCGTAATGTAATGCGAAACCGGGGTGGTCGACAAAGATATACGTATTAAACAAATTTTGTGGCGTGCACTACCCCGGTGATCGATGTTTTTTTCGAACATGTACAGCTAGAACCGTATAATTTCTTCCGTTGTTGGCCTTCGTTCTCTGTTGCCCCAATCTATTAGGCTGAGAAATGTGGAGCGTTTTTGAAATGAAGTCTTGGATGCGACAGAACGACTTTATGGGACCATTGTTGAGGAAATGGTCCTGCAGTTGAAAAACAATATCTTCTTTCGAAGAAATTTGTATCTCCCGTCCATGTTCATCTTCTTTCACGATTGACAACTGATTGTTTTGTCTTTCGCAGTGGGCCTGTATATAATACCTGTATATAATAGTCAAAATTAATAAAAATCCACCAAAAAGGTCACGAAAAAATTTTGGTGAAAGCTAATATAGCAATGCGTTCAAAAATGCATTGTTTTAATAATACTTTTTTATAATAATGTATTAAATTAATTATGTTTTTACCGCACTAGCTGTAGTCTGCAACCTTACGACAAGTTTTCATTGTTGACTGTAGTAAATATTGCAGGTTTCTCATGCTACCATTAGGTTCAGAATGTGAAAAGATACGTTTAATTTAAAATGAAAAAAATCACGATACTGCAAAAACACTTCTCCATGCAGTGAAGTATGCAATATAATGTACATGCTGTCAAAAGATATGATGAAAGAAATTTGATTATTCAGTCTAAGAACAGGCTATACTGCATGGGTTTTGAAAATTTTTTGCTCCAAACTGCTTTTTTACTGTTGCATCATTAAGATTGATCCGGGTAAATATTATGATTTGGGGCATCCCACTTGATAGAACTCATTGTTGAATTGTTTGGGTGATGGACATGTCGAGTGTAAATTTTATACATTTAGCATGGATTGAACCTGCGGCCTGAGTAGGAATCGAACCTGCGGCCCTACGATTCCAGTGTAGCTTTCCAACCAAAGTTGTCGAGCTCAAAGTGCAAGGTCATTTATAAATTATAATACATTTTATAAATACTCGCTGCTATGCGCCACGTCGGCTATCAGCTGTGACTCGACTTCGCAGAATAACTGTTAAATACATGACTCGAATTTTCAGGATAATTGTTAAATATACTTAACCATGGCATTACCTCAGTATACATGGATCACCTCCGTTTTAATTAGTATCTAATATTTTCAGGTTTACCTATCCGATTACGAGGACCATCAAGTGCAAAGGGCAGTGGTCGAGTGGAAGTTTTCTACAAAGGACGATGGGGTACAATCTGTGATGGTGGTTGGGATACAATGGATGCTAAGGTTGTATGTCGTCAACTTGGTTATTTATTTGCTAGAGCTCTTCAAGGGTGGGAAGCTCCTGATGGAACTGGCCATATTTGGTTGGATGGAGTCGGATGTACTGGACGTGAACAAAATTTAATTAGTTGTTCTCACGGAGGATGGGGAATTCATAATTGCGGGCATGACCGGGACGCAGGTGTACAATGTTCTGCACAAGGTAAATTTATAATATAGTTTGTCGCTTCCCGCATGGAATTATGGCACACCATCGGATAATCTAATTAATAGTTAGTCGTCGAAGGCGATGTGATTACAAGACTATAATTAATCACTGAGCCGAAGGCGAAATGAACATAGGCTTGTAATCACCGAGCCTGAGGAAAATAATTATATTAATTGTTTTAGTATTATTTCTGTATTGAAATAGTTTTATTTATAAATAAAACTAATATACTTGTTTATTTTATGAATATAATTTGAATACATAACTTACTTCCGTTTTTGGGACACGCATCCTAATCGTTAACCTTCGGATCAACAACAACAAGGTCGAATCCCATGGCGCACTATTTGTTTCAATAATACTTTTCCCTCAAATATAAGAGTTATTTCCATGCATATAGAATTTTTCGTGTTACATTTATAAAACATACTGAAAATACATGCATGCAGAAACCCCTCGCCTTGCTCACAGCACCATCGTATTTTATATATATATATATATATATATATATATATA